AAGATATAATTGAATGCTATATAAATATTGATTTTTTTGAGCAAGAATCTTGTTATTTTGATAGATTATTACATTAAAAGCATAATAAATAAGGAATGGACAGTACAAAATTTTTTTTTTTTGGAGATTCTATATTAAACCAGTATTTTACATAATTTTGCTAAAAAAAATTGTATGTAGTGAGGAAGGAGTGTGATGGGGGAAGAGTGAAGTGTGAGAGGTGAATTGTAGTGAAGTGCCTCCAGAGGCGCTTCACCTGTTGATGCGATTCACCCTGAATCGCAGGGGTTCTGGGGTCCACGATTCACTTGCACACAAAGTGAATCGTGCAAGTGAATCGTAGGGTGAATTGCAAGGTCTGACCACCCCTATTAAAGCAACAATCCTGGAAAGCTTTGGAGAAACCTAATTTACAGCACAATAACGCTCACCATATAATATTTAAAGATGACTTGGAGGAAATTCTGCTAATTCTGCAGACTTCGATGCTTTGTGCAAATTGTACAACAACAACTAAAGTGCATCATTCTTCAGCCCACTTTTGAATTAAAGCAACATAGGAACATTGGCGGACGGTCTTACAATCTTCACGCGAATTATTGTAGATAGTAGAACCGAGAGTAATGCTGGCCTCTAAAAGAAGAAGTGTGGTCAGGCAGATAGAAAGTCTCCTATCTGCTAAAATCAGATGAGAAATCGGCTAGCAAACTAGTATACTTACTTTGCTGGTAAAGTGCCAACACTCGGATTAGGAGAATATCTGTCAACCATTTTTTTAATACAGCGTATCTTTTGAACCGTGAAAGTATATACTTACAGTCAATAAGATCAACTGCGATCAGGTCTGCCGTCTGAGTCAGATCGGATTCATAATAAATTGCAATAGACTGCCCACAGCATAAGTTGTCGATCCAATATATTGCACGGCCTGGCTTTTTTCAGTCAACAGAAAGTGTGAATGGGTTGGGAGCATAACGCACACCTGAAATGCATGCATGTCAGTTTCAACATCAGCGTGCACCATCAATTGCACTGCTTATCTTTCACCTCAAAGACGTTTGTTTGAAGTTATTTCCTAGAATAATATGCTAATATCAATAACTTCCTATAAGTCAGTGGATTATTTCACGCCTTTACCGATTATAAAGCAAATGATCCCGAGAAGTCCAACACAGAAATTCTAAAATCAACGTCAGAATATGCTTGAATAGAACAATTTGATAGCACTTACTATAAAACTAATCAGACTAATAGAGCTACACGGCTTGGACTTTGATTCCAGCAATAAGCCATAGGTTTATATCAGAAACTATTGGGCTCACCCAGAAGTACTGTATCTGCGGAGACACAAGTCAGTGCTTGAGTAGATAAGTACTCAGTCGGCATATCTGCATACTTGTTTATCTATCGTTATGACTTGAAATGTAGTGCATGTCGGTTCTTGTGGGAGAATCATGTAAGACGAGAAATTACAGTACGAACGAGTGTGATAGATCAAGGCGGTCAACAGTGCTACGTTCAAGCACTTTGCAATGAATATATCAGAGACAACCGTGACCAATTCCACCAAGCTTGCCCGTCTATTAAATCTGATGGCATCTGAGCGGTTGAAGAGCGTGTATGCATAATCAAGGGTCTGGTTTGCCATCAAAGGACAGAGTGTAAGGCAAGCTGGAAGTGAACACTGGATGAGCTGTCCTCTTATAAGAGTCATGAACTTGATAGATGATGCAATATGTGCTTACATCGTGTCCAATATGCAGAGGAAATGCATTCCATCCAGAGATTGCTTCTGCGACGTCAAATACCAGAGCTGAGACAATCAAGAGCTGTGGAGATGATTTACGTATGAAACAGATGAGACACACGGAAGTGTCTGTCTCCGTGCAATGAGGCTGATAAAGTAACGTCGACCATCATTTGCATCAACAATTAGTAACTCCATCTCCCTGGTTCTCCCACGACTGCATCTGCTATTATGCACAGTTAAATCAGCAACTGGAGAGTCTGACTTACTGTATGGAGCGACTCACCCTTATGTCAAGTACAAGGGATGGGAAAGTAGGTGCTAGTGGCCCGGGCGTCTGCATCAAGTGCTTTCTGCATAGATTGACGAGAGGACGAGAACATTGACTTTGGCGAACCTGGTTTTATTAGGCATCTGACTCACGCATCAGGAAAAAGTCTTAAGGCTTGTATTAGCTTATAAACATATAAATTATATAAATTTTCTAAAAAATATAAAAGACCATATATCCAACCTCTCAAAATGAGAAAATTATAAAAAGCTATGTAAGATACAAAAAGGTATGTACAAATTGTTAATATGAATAAGGTTTATAAGTGTTGACAATATGTAAACAAACTTATATCCAACCTCCTAAAATGAAAAGATATTAAAAGAACTTTGTATTTTAACAAGAGTAATATAGTTTTATAATGTATACAATCTAATGCAAAGCTTTAAAAGTAGTATGTATATTGTTAAACATTATTATACTTTATAAGAGCTTTACAAGACTTTAAAATAGTTATAATATTTTACAATCCAGGTGTTCATTTATTTCTCCTTTTTTCCTCTTATAATTAAGTATTTACATTTTAATACACTTGTATTGATTTATTTCTACTACATTTCATTCTGA